CCCCGCCCCCCCGCAGCAAGTCCAAAATCAAGAGGCCGAGTTAGCAAACTCAAACTCGGCAAGTGGATTTTGAGGCCCCTTATGATGATCGTACATGACGAAAGTGCTGTAAATACTGAGTAAAACGGATGTGCTCTTAAGATGGTTTTAAGCAAGTGTAGTTGGTAGGGGGGGGGGGCGCCTACTACTACTACTGCTCCTGCTGCTGCTACCCCCACTTCGAGACCCACTTCAGGAACAACTTGTTTGGTGTTGTTTTCTAACTTTCTGGAAAGTGCCGGTCATGCAAAGGGCGCTCCCACACGAGTATTCAAGGTCCGCTTTTGCCAGCGGCAACAAACAGCAGAACTTCTCTGCATGGCTCGAGCTCCCGAAGTTCAGTCCCTGGCCGCTTCTACTTCCTCCACGGTCCTGGATTTGGGGTAAGTGGCGCGCAACCAGGTGTAGTATGTATAGGTTGTGCCGGGAAGAAGCGGGCCAAGGATCCATTCAATTCGCGACATTCCTAGCTATTGGCAACTCCGCAGCTGAAGCTACGGTATGGAGCTTCTTCGCATGTCATGGTGCCAATGGCCGGTCACAAGATCCGCAGAACGGATGTACCCCGGTCTAGAAATTAGGCCCCAGACCCCGAGTGACAGCCCAAGCCCGAAATCCGGAAGCTTGGTTTCAAAACCGAAAACCTGCAACCCGACATGTCCTTCCGCCTTTGAAGGTCTACAACTGATGCTCGAAAGCCCTCAGCTACTGCTCGCTCGTTTGCCTTGGGGCGACCGTGAAGTTCTCGATCCCAGACTCAGTGACCAGGACGTTGTCCTGTTTTGGGGTAGGGAGGAGGGTTGACAGCTTACAGCTTGGCATCGGGGGATTACGCATCAGAGCCGTCCTGTGAAGTGGAAAGCCGAAGGTTTCAACCATCGAGTCTGCTGGGTTTCCTGATACAGAAATCCTTGCTGCGGACAGACAAGGAGGAATTCGTGGATGGCATCCACACCCTCCAAAGCCGTCGATGCTCCTTCCTCTCTCAAGCTCGCCCAGAGACTCCCGAACCACTTAGACAAGTAACATAACTTAACAGCAAGAGACAGGACACTTTAAGGATTATTGCTGAATTATAAGGGGAAATGAAGTCTTCCGCTGACGTTCGGCACCGGCCTCCAAGCGGATACCTCCGAAGTCGGCAAAGTCGCCAAGCCGATCCCAGTTGAAGAACTTCGCGCGCTCCGGGTCTTCTTTGGCCTTAAGGCCCGCGTAAGGGCTACGGCAAGGGCTTTGAGTTTGCCATAAGGGTTCCACGAGGGTTGCTGCAAGAATTCGTATTATGCTTCTTGAAGAAGGTTACCAAAAAGCATAAAGTGCATAGTTCAATCGTCTCTGCAGCCTATACCGGCCATTTTCCTGCATAGTATTTTATTGCTCACATGATTGTTATTGCTGCTATGAGAATGATTGCTATACTTACGGTTGCTATGACCAGGTGTAGTAGTCTTCCGAGGTGAAGAAGTGGATCCCAAAGCCATAGCCGTCAACCCCCTTCGAAGAAACCCCACACCAGAAATACTACTACTACTACCCCCCCCCCCC